AGGGCCTTGCACAGGGGCCCAGAGTGGGGCGAATGAGGGTGGAGGGAGGTGTGGGTGTTTCACCTTTTTCACCCACATTTTGATGTTGACGGTACCGGGAGTTGAAATTGCAACTTTTCGATCACAGGCCCATCTTCTAACCTCTGCGCCACCACTCCCCAAATTAATTCATTGAGATGTTATAGATGCTGATGGCTGTAGGCAGGAAGGATCTCTTGTAAAGGTCCATCCCACAGTGGATCCTAAGAAACTGGCTGCAGATGCCGTCCAATCCGTCCACCCAGACTCAGCTGGCCTCTCAGTTGCCCCGGGCTGTAGGATCGCCTGCATGGCGGGCAGAACTCCTCCCAGAGCGATGGCCACTCCTCCCAGCAGTCTGCTGAGCTCCTCGTCGCTGCGGACATCCAACTGTAGGTGCCGTGGGATGATCCTGTCCTTCCGCTGTCATGAGCCGTGTTTCCTGCTAGTTCCAGGATCTCAGTGGTCAGGCACTTGAGCACAGCTGGCAGGTAGATGAGAATGCATCCACAGAACATCCTTTCATCTCATTTGAGATTTGTGGCTGTAGTTGAGATATTATTTGAGCTTCTGAGATGTTAATCAGCTGCTGTCGGTTGTAGAAAACTGCCTTGTTGCCATGGTTACGCGTCATAACAAATGTCCAAAACTAAAAAAGTTTCAGTCAAAATCCTTCCAGCTGCACAGCATCTGATACCAGAGGAAACAATCATCCAAAAAATGTGATTTACATCCAGAAAAAGAGGAATTCAAGTTTCCAAAAGCAAACTCTCAGAAAGAAAGAAACAGAGCTGCTCCAACATGCAGCCACCTTGAGCAGTGCAATTCTAGAACTAGAAAATTCTAGAATTAAGAGCACTAGAGCTGTATTTTCAATTCAATTCAATTCAATTCAAAAATACTTTATTAATCCCAGAGGGAAATTATTTTGTTGTTGTAACTCGTTATCCTCATTTCATTAAGAGATGTTATAGATACTGATGGCTGTAGGCGGGAAGGATCACTTGTAAAGGTCCATCTCACAGTGGATCCTAAGAAACTGGCTGCAGATGCCGTCCGACCCGTCCACCCAGACTCGGCTGGCCTCTTGGTTCCCCTGGACTGTAGGACCGCTTGAATGCTGGGCAGAACTCCTCCCAGAGCGATGGCCACTCCTCCCAGAAGTCTGCCGAGCTCCTCATAGCTGCGGACAGCCAACTGTAGGTGCTGAGGGACGATCCTGTTCTTCCACTGTCACGAGCCATGTTTCCTGCTAGTTCCAGGATCTCAGTGGTCAGGCACTCGAGCACAGCTGGCAGGTAGATGAGAATGCGTCCATAGAACATCCTTTTCAACTCATTTGAGAGTTGGGGCCATAGTTGAGATATTATTTCAGCTTTTGAGATGCTAATCAGCTGCTGTTGGTTGTAGAAACTGCCTTGTTGCCATGGTTACGCATCATAACAAATGTCCAAAACTAAAAAAAGTTTCAGTAAAAATCCTTCCAGCTGCACAGCATTCGATACCAGAGGAAACAATCATCCAAAAAATGTGATTTACATCCAGAAAAAGAGGAATTAAAGTTTCCAAAAGCAAAATCTCAGAATGAAAGAAACAGAGCTGCTCCAACATGCAGCCACCTTGAGCGGCGCAATTCTAGAATTTTGCTGATGAAATCAGCTTTTTTTTGTTAGTTTCAAAAGCGTACTTCAGGAGATTGAAAGATAAACTTGGGTGTGACTGTCTGGTTACAAAATTAACTGAGGTGGGTATCTGGAGTGTGCAACAAAATAAGAAACATGGCCAAAAATGCAGTTTTATAATGTGTGCACTTGGAAAAAAATGTAGTAATTTTTAAAGCCTGGTTGCTCAAAATGTGGCAAGATTCAGTGGAACTGTACTGGAAAATTAATCTATTCTCACACAATTTTGAGTTCTGAACAACTCACCCAACAATTGCAGCCCAATGAGATACCAACTTTATACTGGCTTATATTTAGCTCATAAGTTTGGTCTGAATTAAACTCTAATGTTTCCATATTTGAGATAATTTAAAGAGCCATTCACAACAGCAAGTGTGCAGTAATGTGCAGCTCTGGAGAACTTCCTCCACTGAGCCATCTGTGGGGTCTGACTGGGAAAAGTGGGGGAAAAAAACCAGCTCCGCAGGGTCAGAATGGATGATAATGCACCAGGGGGAACATTTCCATATAATGAACACAGTATATCTTCTTTAGAAGCCCCTCTCAAGAAACACAGATGAGGACGCAACGATAAAGAGGAAAGAAACGAGAAGGAAATCAAGAAAGATTTCAAGAATAAAAGAGGACGAATGAGAGACAGGAGAGTGTCGGAAGTGGCAATAAAGCGAGAGAAAATTTAATGGGAGAGACAAAGTAGTAAGAGAGAAGGAGGTAATGTTAATGCAGTGCAGCCTGCAGGTTGTGCTCCCTCTGCACCACTTGTGAACACTCCTGGCTGTGGTGAGCACTCGCTCTTTTATATCAGCCTCCTGCTGCTACTGTAAAAGGAGACACCGAAGACTTTTGTGTGAATGTATTTGTTTGTGTGTGAGCGTTTGACTGTGTGCGCATTCGTGTCTGCGGTTCGTTTGTTTGGAAGCCTATAACAAACTGTCATGCTGGCTCTTGATTTGTATGGATAAAAGAAGCCATAATGAGCCCCATGATGTGAGCGATTTAGCATTCAAAACAAGCTGCCATGTCTGTCAATCACAGGAACTTTCTAGTCTCTCTGTGACGTTTGCCTTAAAGTTCTGAACACTAAATTGACAGACATGCACAGGCGCCCTACAACGGCATCTGTTAAACATTTCCAATCCTCTTGTCTGCTGAAAATAATCATGTCCTCCGCTGCTGCCGCCGCTGCAGGTTCCGCATGGCACACAAGTGTGAAATTGCTGAGTAGATTATGTGAGTGCTGTGATGCCAGCAGCTGGTTCATCTTTACAGGTCAGTCCAGATCAAACATGACTGATAATGTGTGCAGCGGTGCCATTTCTCCCCATGTTTGCTCATCTGGGCAAATATTACACGTCTTTAATTTCTTTGGAAAAATTTATTGATACAAATCTACTATAAAAGATTATACAGATCATTGTCTTTGTACATATACACTCGTATATTTGTTTAAAATTAGACTTAAAACATGTACGCTAACAAAGTGACTTTTCATTGTTGCAGTCTATGATCTCTGAGAAAAAAAACCCTTTTTATTTAAAAAAATTAAGCTAATAGTATTATAAATAGATGCATTATTGACACATAATTGAAGTTTAGCCTTGGCTTGACCCATTCGCAGCTCTCAGCTAGGCGATCAAGGAGCCAATACCACGCCTCACTGCCCTCTGTCAATACACCTGCTCTGACCTATTGGCTCAGATGAAGAAAGGAGCAGATCCACTGCGTCGGCAGCCTCCTCCCTTCTCCCCCGTGTTCTCATTAGATCAACTCTATTAAACTTCTTATGCATCCATTCTCTGCAGGTTGGGGGCTTTGAAACAATCGTGTATCCCAGCCAGTGGTTGGTACTCTGGTAAATTTGCGTATAGAAGTTGTTGAAGGCGCTGGAAGGATTGCTTTCTTCTTGTCACTTATAAGCAAAAAGGTGTTTATTGTAAAATTGTGCAGCATTTCTTACCACGCAGTGACTGTAAACGGAAAATAAATATGTTTGTGACTGCATTAAAGGAATTGTTTAACATTTTGGTGCTGTCTGGCTGTGAACTGAAGAGCTCAATACCACTCTTTTTTTAAAAAGTGTACAGTGATCAGAAGCTGCAGCCAGTTAGATTAGCTTCACATAGAGACTAATAAACATCTTAATTGGCTAGTTTGATTCTGTCCCAAAAAAAGCTACAAAATTTGTGTTCAATTTAATCGAAATGCTTTACCTTATATAAAATAAGCGCACTATAACTTCTATTATGAGATAAATTGCTTATTTTTTTATATTTGTGTAAGAATATACTGAATTAAGGAAATAAGCCATAATGTCTTAACTGTTCAGCTTAAACTCGACAAAGTTAAGTCAGATCCTCTGGACGATTTCTTTTTTTGTTGTTGAAACGTTTCGTCCTTCATCCAAAGGACTTCATCAGTCCAAGAAGCCACAACAAAAACTCAGTTCCACAAGCAGCACACTCACATAGTGGACCAACCAGTTTGATGGTGATAAGATGGTTTCTGGAGTCAGCCCTCTCCCCCGTCTTACTATGTGCGTGTGCTGCTTGTGGGACTGAGTTTGAAGTCCTATGGATGAAAGACGAAGCGTTTCAACAACAAAAAAAAGAAACCGTCCAGAGGCCCTGACTTAACTTTGCTGGATTTTTAACCCGGATTATTGGGCATGAACTTGATGTTCAGCTTAAACTGCTTTTAAGTAGGGATGCACAATATTGGATTTTTGGCCGATGTTCGATATGCCGATATGTTAAAACTTATTTGGCCAATAACCGATACAAATACCGATATTTTATGTACTTTCCTTTGTCAGAACATAGCCCTCTTATTTAGGCTTATTTGCTACAAAAAATGTGTAACAGCTGTAAGAGCTGGTGACATATATTCAGTAACAGCCATATGATATGCTTAGCACTTTAACTTCAATTAAATGAAAAGTATTAAATGTTATTTATTAGCATTAGTCATTGTGGAGGCTTGTTCCAGGTTCCTAGCTGCAGTAAGGTTACGTCAGAAAAATATCTCTGACTAGGTAGCGAGGCTCACCGTAGTCCACAAATCTTTGGAATCCGACATCCTCAATGGATAAAAAAAACTTGCACACCACTGACATTTTGACTTTTCCTCTCTGCTGTGATCAGATCAGGTAGGTGTGTGTGATGTCATCATGTGGTGATGCCGCTGCAGGCATCCTTGTCACTGGGTTGTCGTACAAAAACAGCGTCTTTTATATCGGTGAGTTATTTTGATGGAATGTCCGATATTGAACTTTAACACTAATATCGGCCAATACCATGCCTATAATGTTGTGCATCCCTACTTTTAAGTGTATTTTTTGAAGACTGAACTGTGTTTTTGCATTGTATTATTTTCCAGTGGTACTGATCAACACTTTGGTCCTGTATGGTTGTTTAAAGTGCTTTATAAATAAAGTTGGATTGGACTGATCACCTCGTCTTTTCGTTCCCCAAAATGACAAAAAGGGCCCTTTGGAATTATGTTGCTCTTTGTGCCTATGTTCTTTCATTCTTTAGAAAAAAAAAAAAACATGGCTTAAGCCCGGTTGATTTGGGTTTTGTGTTGTGCGCCGGGTCTGAAGTATCACTCAGGAGTTGAGTTGAGGCGAGCGGGGCTGTGCGGCACGGTGAGGGCTGACGTGTCAGTCACGTCCACTGTCGTCACTCCCATCTTCTTCAGGGAACGCTCGTCTGTCACAGAGATGGAGCGAAAGAACGCAGGTCGGGAGGGAACCTGGGAGCCTGAGATGGAGAGACGGATATTTCCTTTACGTTTATGACAGAGCAAGTGTATTTCATACTTTGCATATAAATCAGACTGAAAATGAACAAACCAAATATGGTGGAAAGAAGAAAATCTTCAAAATAAGACGAAATTAATGCCTCCTTTGGGTTTCTAATGTATTAAGAATCCTTAAGATCTGTGTCATGCACTTCAGCTCCCATTAGTTTAATCCTTTATTAGTATTCAGTTCATGCAGCCAGCTCCTTATTAGATTCTCTCGAGTAAATGACATCCATTTACTTTTATTACAGCAGATGAATGAAATGAAAACTACGGTATTTCTCAGTCTGTGCAGGGCTGGACGCTGTGGCAGCTTTTGGCCTGTAGGGGGTCACGGCAGTGCAGGAGCTGCAGCAGGTTGAGCAATGACTGCAGATTGGTTGCAGCTTGATGTCTCTCATCATCACACACAGAGGGAGCGGGGGAAAGAGAGCACAGGCTCAAGATGGCACAGACCATATGGGGATTTGTACTTTAGATTTCTCTCACACGCTGCTGAGGTTCGACAGACAAACCAGCAGGGGGCAGGGTGCCCACGCACACACATGCACGCCGTACATATGTGCCCAAACCCACCAGGTCTGACATTTACAGCTAAGTGCTGCAATGTCTGGTTGTTTATGTTCAGCGGGCTGGTGATAGGGCGTGCAGCAGGTGGCTGCATTACACTGGTTCTCAGAACATAGGAGCAGCATTATCACTACACAAATCACCACATCTCCAATGTGCACACACTCGCACACTACATCTGTCTCTCTGTTGTGTTTTTCTGGGCACACACTCTCTGTTTGTCCCTCCTCGCTGCTCGTTGTTGTGAAATGCCTTTACATTTTTCTCACACAGATGTTCTCCGACCATTTGGGTACTTGTAGGGCACTGTGAGCGCACTAATGGTCCAACCTGCTCTCTGGCTATTCGTTCGTACAATTTAGCCGTTTCTTTTTACTATAAATGAGTAAAGATGTGTGAATTTCTGCTTTCCCTGCCTTCACTCCTGTTTTTTTTTTTTAAATTTTATGGTGAACTCGAATGCAAAGATAATTAGTGGGGCACAAATATACATTTCAGACCTGCTGCTCCTTTTATCTACGCCTCATTGCTGCCGCTGCCTTCACCTCCACCTCCCTCTCTCTCTCTGCTGCTCACCCATGCAGCTGTCCCTCTCTCTCCTCCTCTCTCCTCCTATCCTCTGAGGCTTTTCAGTACAATGCAGGTCAGGCGCTGCAACCTCACCTGCGTCAATCTGAGTGGATGTAACTTTGCTGTTGGTCGTCTCTTGCATGTTTTTCTCGTACTCTCTCACGTCTTTCAAGCTCAGCCCTGTGGGGAAAGCAGAGTACAAGCAGACATGTGCAGAAAGCATCAAACAGAGTGGAAAATATGGGCTTGATTTCACAGATGTCAAAGTCAATTTTTTTTTTTACATTCTTTATATTCTCAATTTGGTTTTGTAGAATCTAAAGTGGTGCTTTTGACCCACCGTGCCACTCGTCAAGCCATGCCACCGCCTGCCTGTGGGCAACCAGAAGAATGTCTTTGATAATCTGAGATTAGAAACGGAACAAGAACATGTCAAGAACTGAAGTATGATTAAAAGCGCACCGCTGTTGTGTGTGTGAAATGCTGCATTTCAATGATTTGGCCATTAGAGTCAAAGTTTGTGAAATTGTTTTGATATAATTGGTTATGCCCATCAAAAGTGTTATCTAAATGAAGCAAACACTTTTGTTCACGCTTCGTTGCAGGTTTCATGTGTGAGAAATGACGTTTTTCTTAGAAGTGAAACAGCGAACGCCCTGAGACGCAGTGCAGAGGTCATTAGAGACTCGCCGCCCTCGCTGTGTTAGTAATTAAGCTAATGTCCGGAAATTAATGTGGTGATGATTTATTTGTGTCAGCATGCCACAAAAGGCAAGCTGGAGTCGTTAGAAACAATCTGCATCAAATGAGGATTGTCATTTTGTCCTCGAACCAGCTTCCTCACATCAACACGGCAAAAGGTGAAAGAAAAACTCACTTTGTGCACAAAGTCCTCCGTCCTGGTCTGGAAGCCGTACACCTCGAAGCTGCACTGCACTCTCTTATAGGAGCACATGATGGGGTTGTGGTGGTCTCTCCAGCCCTCCTTCAGAGGCCCTCGGTTGGTTTTACTTGAGCGCCAGCGGCTCAGGTCCTTAACAGAGCAGAAACTGAAGCTGACTCTGCAGAAACGGCAGCTCTGTATGGATGTCTGTGCATGTGCTGCGAGCTTGTCTTTGTACAAGGATGAGTTTTGACATTCATGTGGAGGTGTCAGCAGGTTGTTGCTCAACACAACCCTGAAGAGGAATGTATGCGATTGTACACATTATGCACTTGTAACCAAAGGGTGTTTTGGTATTTTACATTTTCAATAAATATCAGGTGTTTTTTTTAGACACGTTTTTGCTTGTAAGTGCATTCCCGTGTGCTTGTACGCATCCCCGCTAAGTGCCTGTGTGCATCCTTTTTTTCCTTTTTGCACACAAACCTGTGAATTCACCTTTGTTGCTAAGGGCTTGCAGGCACTAAGGAAGTGTGAAATCTTGGATGAGACGGAACGAAAAAAGGAAAAGAGGCTGAGTCGTGTTTTCTGTTCAGCGGGGGGAAAACCTAAAGCCATTAAGGATTTTGGTGTAGTGGATTATAATTTCTGTGTCCACATGCTTATACACTATAAACCTTTAAAGAAGTGTTTAATGTCTGTGTGCTGATTTTATTGACCTGGAGTAAGGACATAACGCTGGGAATCCAGATGAGTTGTTTTTAAATCAAGCTGTAACAAATTTCAGTTTTATGTTTTCTGTCATAAATGATGAAACGCCGCATAAAAACAGGATCCGCTGTGTTTACATTTATATTTATGTGATAATTAAAATAATATGTGCAGCAGCAGTTGTGGTGGAGAGCATCACAGGTGCTAATGAGGGTGTTTTTGGACTGCCTTAAAGCATTTTTTTTTCTACAAACTGAATATTTTTAAAGCAATACTAAGATCATTCACAGTGGAGTTACCATAGATTGAGAAGATACAAACAATTAATATCTAACCTGTTATACATAGCTCTTCAGTTTGGAGAAATTGTTTATTACTGAGCTGATTGATGGGCAGTTTTTCCACACTGAGACTCTTCAAACAACCATCTACAACAGGTAAGATATTATTTGTTTATATCTTTTCTGCAGAACCACAGTTTAAAAGAGCTACTCTATTGCTTTACTGTAATCATGCACATTTTACTCATACAATGGTGTTTTTTCTGTGCGTATGTGCTGCTTTTTGTGTTTTAATAGTGTCTCACATACCTCTGATTCTATTTTGTGCTTTTCTGGAATAGGGTCACTGAGGATATCCAGGAAACTCACATTTTCAGCTGGAGTTGGCGTGTCCCCAAATACCTATGTCCAAAACAGATGGGGGGGGGGGGGGGGGGGGATCATTCATTGTAATGACAGCTGACGCACAACCACCCATACACACATGGACTCTTCACTCAGCGGAGAGCAGGATAAGAGTAGATGAGTAACTGTGGAGAAAACTGAGGTCACACACCATAACACCCCCCCACTACTGTATATCCCACCCTGGGGCCCTCAGAGGAAATCACACTGGAGCAAACAGATGAGAGAACAGATAGAGAAGAGGGGATGAGGGTAAAAACAACACAAATGTAAGAGGGATATTAAAGAGATGGAAAAAGAGGTGCTATGAGTTTTCCTCATGAGTATGGTGTGAAAATGGATAAAAACTGCACTTTTACCTGACCTTGTACAAAATTTGTTGTAATGCCACACACATTGTTTATTTCACAGTAGCTAGCAACTAAGGTACACCAGGCGTAACAGCTTGCTTTGCACTGTTACCTTGTTGTGTCTAAACCAATGTCCTGCATGTTCGTACGTTGCATTAGCTGCAGGGATTGTGATGCCTTTCACTGTGTATCCTGGGTATCAAACAGGCAACTTTTCCACAGGTTTTCAATGGGATAGATATAACCTGTTCTGTTAAAATACTCAATTCAGTCATCTATTGAAAACGTTACCAAGAAATTCAAGTGAAATCAAAATGTGAATGTAACCCATAAAAAGACCTTCTCTGTTTTTGCATGGATAATGACACAGATGGTTAGTACTGCTGCCTTGTAGTAAGAAAGTCCTGGGCTTGACCCCGCCTAGGAACTTTCTGCTTGGAGAGTGTGTTGAAAAGACATCTAAAATGTCTTAGAGTAGACATTTACAGACAATCGTGCTAAATTTGGTGTAAAACTTAAAGTTTAGCAGACGTAAAAATTGATTTGGACGTCAAATAGATACAGTCTCATTAGCAGAGACGGACTAACCACACAGAGGTTCAAACTCCTACTTTTTGCGTTGCTAGTGCTTTTGCCTCCTGCTGAGCAAATCAGCTACACAAGACACTTCTACAATTAAGGCATTCTGCAATCTGTATGTGGTGTTTTCAAACTTTAATGTGTCAATTATGCCAAAAAGTCTTGATTTTCTTTTACAAATGGAAGTTTAGGTCCTTCTTTTATTAGGTATTTTGCTAGGAGCACATGATATCCTATATTGTTACTTATTGCTACATTGTTTTATAATATATACTACTGACCTCTTGCCCAGGTCATCCTGGTAAGATATCTTGATCTAATGTTTTTTTATTTGGTTAGATAAAGGTTAAATATGGTTTGTTGTTTCTGCGACTAATTATGAAAAGTTATATTTTTTCATCTGCAAACAAAATCTTTTTCTTTTGGCTGTTCTCTCTTCAGGGCTCGCCACAGCGAGTCATCCTCCTCCATCTCAGGATTGATTGATCTCACTCTGTCCTCACTCCAACTACCTCCATGTCCTCTCTAACTGCATCCATATATCTCCTCTTTGTTATTTTCCTGCAGATGCATTTCTAACATCCTTCTACCAATATACCCACTGTCCCTCCTCTGGACATGTCCAAACCATCTCAGTCTGGTTTCTCTAACTTTATCTCCCAGTTGTTCAACCAGTGCCGTACCTCTGATGATCTCATTCCTAATCTTATCCATCCTTGTCACTCCTAAGGAGAATCTCAACATCTTCATTTCTTCCACTTCCAGTTCTTTCTCCTGTCTTTTTATCAATGCCACTGTCTTTAGACCATACAACATAGCTGGTCTCACCCCTCTTGTAAACCATCTGCAAGTAAAATAGAAATGTCTAAATATTTTCATTCAACCTTTATTTAGACAGGTAAATCCCATTGAGCCTCGAGAACTCATTTACAAGAGAGACCTGAAAATGTGTCTTCAAACTAACCATGATTTTTTTTTCCCTTTTCAACATGTTGATGTTTTGATTGAATTTTGATGATTTTAAAAAGTGGGGACAATAGCCATTGAAAGTACAACTCAATATTTTCAAGTTGGTCTGTAATCTTGATTGGTGTTCATTGACACATGTCAAATAATTTCCATACTTGAGTTGCTTTTTCATGTTTCCTTTTGTTTGTGTCTTGCATAAATTAAGTAACAAGTACAAAACTGTGGTTTAAATGTGGTCTAAATTTAGCTGGAAAAAAAAAATCAGGATTACCGGTACATGAGGGTTATCACTAAATTAAAAGTGAAAAACACAAATTTCACTGAGTGGGGAATGTTTTCTGCAAGCTTTATCACAAAGTCATGAATTGTAGGGAAATACTACCACCTCTGCAGGGATATTTGGGAAACAATACAAACAAAGGCCATCTTAGCACCAACATAACTGTTTAATTCCACTTTGGAGTAGGTGGTTGGAGGAGAATCGGTTTTGTTTGGCGTTTCCTCAGACTGATGAAGCCCTTTGGTTGGAGGGCGAAACGTCTCAGCACAAAAAAAAGAAACCATCCAGATGACCTGATTGAATGATGTTGGATTTTATACCTGGGTTATTGAGCATGGACAATACAAACAAACAAAAAAATATTCTCCGGGTTCTAATTGTAATTTTAGTTCCTGCTGTGTAAACTTGTCGAGTTCCTTCAAATGTTCCTAGTTTGTGAGCAAAGTTTATTCAATAAAGATCCCACTATAGCAACTTAATCAGAAAATATTTCCTATGGAGACATAAAAATAAACTGAAGCAAATAGAACATTTGATTTGTAATTCTCAAGGAACCAAAAATGTGATTTGATATATCTTTGAACCTGCTGCATGTGAGAAAGAGATTACTTCAATATTTCCAACATGCATGCTTTGAAAAAAGCTGGCATGTCAGGGTCATTCATAATGTTTCTTTAATGACCTTAAATTGCAGGTTTGCAAATACTGAAGTGAGTGCAAACCTGCAGTGGCATGGAACAATTTTAGCAGCGTTTCTCTCAACGTGCAGCACCATTTGAATTCTGACATGTTGGGTCTTGTTTCTTGTCTTTCCTTGATTACATCGTTTAAACTCAGGGACCAGATAGACCTGCATTTGCTTGTGAATCTCTGAGTATGTTTATGTGCAGTGGCTGTGCATCGAGTGCAGCATGGCAGCAATGATCAGCACCCTGCACATCTGGTTAATAGATCTGCCAATAGTGCATTTTGTGCTTTGCTTGTTTTCCTTGTAATGGCCACATCAATTTGATGAACGTTTTTTCGTGGCGCTGCAGAGAAAATTGCAATTCCTCTCTTTCCCCTTTGTCTATCTCACCTTCTTCCCCCCTTCTTTAATCACTCTTGTCTTTTTCCACCTCTCGCTTGGGCCCATACTCACATTGTTGTTACTGCCGTTGTTGTTTTCGAACCTCGTCTCAATGCGAATGCTGAACCGGGGGACGAACGATACCTACAGACAGGAGTAATGAATAAATAAATAAAAGGGAAAAAAGAGCTGAAATACAGAAAGCAAAGTCAGTGCGCAGATTAAATCCACTGATGCTGGAAAGAGGTGCTGTTGCTTTCATGCAAAGTAAATGATGTGTGAGAATACTTACTGAGTACTCTGCAATACCAAGGACATGCAATATGAAAAGGGAGAAACAGCATTTGTTACTCAATTGCAAGAGCATGAAATTGCAGCTGCACATTCAACACAAGCCAACCACAGCTCAACTCGCACACGTTCAATATTAAATGGCACTTGTAAAATCACTATGTGCATGCATTTAGATATTTATAGTTTACCCAACAAGTAGTGACCCACAAATACCTGTAATGGTATATGGGTAGAAGTTCCAGGCCTTTTCTGTCACATAGAAGAATCGTGGGACAAAAGCTTTGATCCAAGATGGAAGTTTACTGAAAGCAGAAGAAAAGGTAGAATTTCAGAGTGAGTTAAGGTATAGGAGAGCAGGAGGGAGATTATAGAAGTTTTATTGTACCATTTATAGCTGGATTACCTGTAGGCTTCTTTCATCACAGTGATCATTTGTATGACTCATTCTCAGTTACATCTGTGGTGATAAACTATTTCCGTGGCTTCAAAGTCGGAACAGAACTGAAGTTCAATAGTCTGTGTACCCATGTGTCTGTTTCTGTAGTCCTTATTAACAAGGACCAAGTGTCCCACAAGTGCTCATATATTAGAAAAATCCTCCAGAGTGAGAGTGTCTTCATTTCCTCAAGTGTTTATTTAAAGGGTAGACCTTGGGTTTATGGTAGTAATTGGAATAAGACTTGAGGTTGTATCAGGGTAATAAGTGGGGCTATCCCAAGGCTAGGAAATGAGTTGAGAGAATTCTGGTTATTTTAGATACATATTTCATAATAAAGAGTTTTACATTAAGAAGAAATAAAATACATCTTTTCAGCAGAGTGGCATGAAAAATGCACTTACGCATACAATATCAAGCTTAAAATGACAATTCGGTGTTTTGAAAACGCGTTTGTTTTGTACCTTACCGCTTGCAGTTAGGGTTTTAATTTTGATTTAATAGTTTGCTCTTGACCAATTTGACAAGCTAATCATGAGTCCAAGACCAAAGTGGATTGCTGCCATCTTCAGATCAGATCAGATAAGAATTATTCGCCACCTTTCCACAGAACACGACTACTATAGAACATGGATGAAAAACCTTAAAAAATAAGGAGGCGCATCATATTTTTTGTATTTAAACTTGTTATTTTTGTGGCTTGGGATGCAAAGACAAGCTTAAAACTAATCTTATGTGTCAGTTTAATATGTAACAACTTCCTATTAGCTTAGATCAGGGTAATACTTTCAGTGCTTATCAAGTGGAAATAGATTGACATAAATGTCTACATGTATTTTTGTCACCGTGCTTTAAGAAAAACAACGGTGCTTGTGCCTAAAGATTAAAACAAGCACATAATTTGAGATAAAGCGGTGAGAAAATAGATTAGATTAGCAAGAGTGACATTTTGTTCTGATAGGCTGTTAATTTGTTACTAAACTGCTGTTGTCAATCATAACTGGAAGCACGGAGTATAAAAAGCCTAAATGACATGTGCTGCCCTGAGCAATGCTTTTGAGTTGACAGACTATAAATGGCGTGATAATCAAGATAATTTTATACCCCCAGCTCCCTTAGCTTTTTATTAAGTTCAGTCGTGACAAAAATCTCTATCTAATCAACAATGTTTCAAATTGTGACTTTGCCAAGAAAGGAACACAAAATAAGGAAAACTAAACATGGCTTTGGTGCAAAATGTCCATGAACTTACAGAAATATTGTTGCAAAATGATTTCTACTTCTGGAAAGTTGCCTCAAGTGTTGTTAGGCCTTGGCTAACGGTGAAAATATGCAACCAGAGCAGAGTAGATCACCCTCTTGCCTAGGGATGAACCATTTTGGAAAATATTCTAATTTCGATTTTTTTTACCTCAGTATTGCAATTGCAATTTAATATGCCATTATTTTTCATTGTCTTCTTCTTGAGTATTTTTCAACGAACACAATCAATAAATCAATCTCTTTCAGTTGCAAACAACTCCACTGTTTTCAGCTCTGCTTCAGCTCTGTTTCTGCATTTTTTTTGTGTACCTCCGGTATAGCAACTTGGCTAAAATGTGTGTGTGAGGACATTCTGCACCGCTTATCCACTTGGTTTACCAAAGCTGTAAACCCAGGCTTGGTCACAATATTAATGGACATCATGTCTTTCGCTATGAACTCCGTTATTGCTCGAGTTATTTCCGCGTGCTGTTTCGAATTATGTTCATACGGAGTAATAGCTTCGAACAGTTGGGTCAGTGATCCCTGTCGGCTGGTACTTTGCTTACTTGAAGCTGAGACGCTGGCCGTTGGCATTCTAGCCATGCAACCATCGTAAATGGTTTTGTGGTGTTTTTTAAGTGTTGATTAAGATTTGTGGTGTTACCTTGAGAGGTAGCAAGAAAAAAAAACAAAACCTTGAGAGGTAGCGGCAAGGCAGGTTCTGCACAATATGTCGTTGTGTAGCATCTTCTTTTTTATAGTCAATATAGATAATGTAGACTTTTCCCACTACCTGCTCTGCGTTGCTCCACTCACTCGCAAGTCACGTAACCAGATCACATGACCAGTAAAATTGCAGCCTTTGTGATTAGGAAATCTTCTTTTATCATATCGCACACGATATTATTGCAAATGCAATGAATTGTTCAGCCCTACTCCTGCTCTTTTTCTGCTGATTTCATTTAGATCACTTTTGTTCAAAACGGTCTGATGGTGATTTTAGACCTGGTATCGCGATCTCGACACTTTCAAAGTCGTTTGCTTCCTTTTTTGGTGTAATTAAAAGTCTGAGTGGAGGAGTTAAAATTGTTATTATGCCTCTGAGCAGAAAAGGGAGGTAGTCACAGAGATGAGTTTGTGAGTGAGATGCCAGCTTCATATTACACACATAGTTGTGGGATGGGGTCAGTTTGATGGATTCATGTGTGAAGAACCAAAGGCAGCTTAGAGAGAAGGGTTCATCCTTGCAGTCATAACCTGAAACATTCATGTCAAATGCTAAAGTCTATATTTTAGCATTTGGCTGCCAACATCTCAGTCTTGTTGAGCCAGAGGTGCCCATAACCCGAGGGTTGAGCTGGAGAGTAATAGTAGTTATTAGAATTGTAATTGGACAAGAATTATACATTTATAGAATTGCTTATAAATGACTACCAGTATAAAAGTCAAAATGAGTAAATCTAGCTCTTCACACCATTAAGATCCTTAAGAAAAAAATAAATTACTGCTATTTAATGTAAAAGGGTATATATTTTGAGGCATTGTGCTATTAATGCTAAACGTGTTTTGAAGTCAGCATAGTATGCTCATCATTTGCTGCTTCATACACTTGCAGAAGGACTGTGTCTATCTGAGACTTATTTAAAATAATAATTATACCAAAAATAAAAAAAATATATACAAAATTTTGTCCAGACTGGGAAAAGTGGGGGAACCAAAACAGTGGCAGACATATTTTCTGGTGATTTGCAACACATGCATAGTATAATGTGTGTTCAACATAATGGTACTTCCTCCAGTTATTTAACAGTCAACAATGGCGTATCACAAGGCTCAGTCTTAGGACCCACCCTCTTTATAATCTACATACATAATGTAGGTAAAAACATCCCTGATGCATCCATACATTTCTATGCTGACAACACAGTTGCTTATTGTCGAGCTAAAACAGTTAAGGCTTTCCAGCTTTTGAAATCTGCATTTAACATCATCCAGTCTGATTTGTTCCACCTCAAACTTGTTCTAAATGCCGACAAAACCAAAGGGATGCTTTGTTCAAATAGGAAGTTGGTCCCAGCAGTTCTTCCTCAGATTTTATCCTCAAATGATGTCCCAATTGAGTTTGTTGATTCCTATAAATATTTGGGTATCTTGGTCGACTCGCATCTCTCTTTAAAGCTCCATGTGGAAAACTTGGTAAAGAAACTGAAAGTTAAACTGGGTTTCTTTTTCAGAAACAGATCCTAACCCTGAATGCTAGAAAATGCCTTGTATCTGTGACTTTCCTTCCCTCAATTGATTACGGTGACATTATTTACATGAACGCTCCTACAAGAACCCTGCAGATGTTGGATGTTGTCTATCATGGTGCACTAAGATTCATAACTGGCTGTGATTATCGTACCCACCACTGCACCCTGTATTCACTGGTTAACTGGACATCATTAACTTCATACAGACTCTCTCACTGGTACATTTTATCTTTAAATCACTTCTTGGTCTGCTGCCTTCATACATCTCCTCCTACATGTCTCTGCGTGAGTGCAGCTACAGCGTGCGCTCTCAGGACATTATTACCTGCAGTGTTCCCTCAGTGCGGACTGAACTTGGCAAAAGGGCCTTCTCCTACTCTGCTCCTGTTTCCTGGAATATCTTGCAAAAGACTTGAAGCTCTCGACCTTGACCTCTAAGTGCCTTTAAGAATCTGTTGGACTCCTGGCAGGGACCAATGCAGACATGCTCCTGTTTTTAGTTTTCTAAATTCGCCTTAGAATCTAGCTGTTTTTTGTTACTTTTATTTTTTTAGCCATCCTATTAAATTTTTTTTTTTGTATGATCAGGTCTCTCTTGTAAATGAGTCCTCGAGGCTCAATGGGATTTACCTGTCTAAATAAAGGTTGAATGAATGAATAATAAAGGGTAAATGAAAAATGTATTTAATTTCTTCTCTGTATTCGTCACAAAACAGAAAAAAAAAAAAATTGTACAAGCACACATCAGTGGACCTACAGAGTACATTCTGACCCTGGATTAAAATAAAACAGGAAAACAGAGCAACTAAAGACTTTGCCTCCCAGCACCCTTTTATTTAAACTCACTAATAAACTTGTTACAGTTGATTTCTTAAATTAGTAAGAATAAACATTTAGTTTTCTTTTCTGGCTGCTGCTCTCAGACGACAAAAAAATACATAAAAGTAACTCCTCTGCCCACGTGTTTATGTATGGATAAGTAAATTATAATATAATCTCACACTTTAACAGTGGTTTTGTCTACTTGCGGTTGTGATTAGGATTATTACCGTAAAGCCTCTTTAATGAGTTGAAACCCTCAGAAATAATATGATTTAGTTTTTTTATTTAAATATTTCGTGCTAATGTTTTGTTTTTGATCATTTTCACTTTTTCTGCACATGGTTTAAATAGGCTCTGACTGCTGACAGAAACATTTTCCTCTCTGCAAAGGAAAATAATGAGAAGCTGAAAACTTTCCTATCATCCTGCAATTACCGCCATCGGGATGACGCGGACGTTTTCCTCCCAGCTGTGTTTACACAATTAGAGCACTTAAAGGTTTACTGGCTTGTGAGCTCAGGGAACAATAACATATTTCGCTGTTGCTTCACAATAAAAGACTTTGACGTATTTCAGATTAAAGGTACTTGGACTTTGGATTTAGGCTGCTTACAGTGCTCAGTGGGTACTGCTGTGTTGAAACGATGTTTTATTGCTCGTCACTAACTTGGAAGTACAAGACGTAAAGCTTTAGAGCGAGGGAAGAGGCTAAAGATCGAACAGCATCGGTTATTGTAATGTTTGAACTGACAAGCTCGGACTGGGGCTGTAAATCGTGCAGCAGCACAGTCGTTAAATTTTACCTGCTGAGGTAGATTCTCTTCTCGGTCACCTGTCCGGGGCCGTGCTGAGGGTGAATGTCCGGCTCATTCTTCACCACCTCCACCCCCTCTCCCCCACCGCTCTGCTCACAGCAGTGCTTACTAATCATGTAGAGCTGCCCGATCCGGTACTGGAACCCAATAAGAGGTTTGTGGTGGGAAAATATGAAAAGAGAGGGAGAAAAGAAACGTGCTTAGAAACCATGATTCACAAAACAAACATCATCATCATCAAGATGGCATCCCAGCTTTCATGGAATTGACATTCAAAGTTTCTTTGTCTCGACGCCTGTAATGTTTATTTGCAAAATAAGAACGATTTTAAACGTGACAAACTTTTAACCGCCCATTTTTCCTTATTTAAATCAAAACACTGCTATGAAGTTCAATTTTCCCAGATGTTCAGCAGCTGCAGACTGTAAAGCTGCAGGAGGAAGTTGTGGAAAGTACATTTATAAAGTGCTGCGTTCAGCACAGTTAACAGGCAGATTGTACCTTTCAGTGCAACTGTGCACTTTGACAGCTTTTGTCACCATAGTGTTTTTGAAGATGAGTAACTACAGTAAAAGCTGGGGGGGGGGGGTTGAGCAACATCAAGGTGAACTTAATGCTTCATCTTGTTACAGTGCAATATTTTGCAGAAAAACCTTGGATCCTGGCATTCTTGCGGTAGTTTCTTTGACTCATATTATCCATTTTAACACTGCTGCTAACCCAGCACCCCCTTCCTCCCGACCCCTCTTCCACCAGTGCTGACCAACATTCCCACAATAGAACAATGTGCGCCTAGAAAACTTCTTAAAACCTTTAGGAAGGGCACCAACTTCCCCCAAATTCTAAGGGATGGAGCACCAGGGACAAGCACGATCCAAATAAACCTCCCACAAAACCTGAAGATTCTCCTGTGCCAGACCCCACAGGACATCCCCAGATGTTCACTTTGCACAGGCAGACCCCCTGAGGGACGGATTAGAGATGCTGTGATGGAAAGAGGAGGACCAAAGTCATGTATTACTGATACCACAAATAAGCATTTTTAGGATTTAAAACTTTTGTTTTTACTAGATTATTTCAAAATATAACAGTACTGATTGTAAATATGCAGAGTACTTCATTAGCTACAGCAAGGACCAGCTGCTTTGCGTTAGGTGTCTAACATTAGGAGTCCTCGCCACTTGTGCCTCTATATATTTTCACCCATTCTTGCTCAGTCAGTTGTAGCAGCTCGTCAGAGTAAACTTTAGTTATTTAATCAATAAAAATAAATAAAAAAACAACAAAACTAAACACAGTAAAGCCACTCGAGGCAGCTTTGAGATTTTGTGCTAATAAGACTGAATCAACTTGACATTTAAACAGAGATATACATTTAAAAATGTCAAACTGGACTTTCTCAAACAGGATAAGAAGGCATGGGAAAAAATGTCTTGTCATATCAAATGTAGTTAATTATCAACAATAAATTGTCCCTAGGTGTGAGTGAGAGAGTGAATGGTTGTCTCGTTTGTCTCTATGTGTCCCTGTGATGGACTTGAGACCTGTCCAGGATGTCCCCGCCTCTTGCACAGTGACTGCTGGACATGGGCACCAGTGACCCCTGTGACCCGAAAAGGAAGAAGCGGGTAAAAGATAACGGATGGATGGATTTTTTTTTTTTCACTTGAGAAAATTACTACAAACTAGTGCTGTCAATCGATTAAAAATTTAGTCAGATTAATCACTATATACTTTGTAAGCTTGAAATGTAAATATGCAGGTTTTCATAAAATGTTGAAGAAAATATTTCTTTGTCTCAAACCAAACCGTCTTCCAGGTTTTCGTACTTAGCAAGGTTTGCAGAAGTCATTTTGTTTCAAACATTAATTTATAAATGTCAACTCATATGTCTCATTAAGTGTTATTCATGTGATGAAAACATGTAACCCTTCTTCTTCTTCTTTTGATTTTATTGACAGTTGGCAAACTAATTTAAGTGCATTACTGCCCCCACTAGACTGGAAGGTGGATCTGGAGAAAAACCAGGCAACCTTCCACAGGATATAGGCCTTTATAGGTCAAAATAAGTAATGCGATTAATCTGCATTATGTAATATTAATGTGAATCTTTTTAGATTAATCGCATATGTTAACAGGCTAACGTTGACAGCCCTACTACAAACACAAGACCCTATGGGGAAGTAGAAGGAAAAAAATGCCATCGCTACAAGATCAGCCATATTCGCTGAGTTTCGGTGTAGTCTTGACAGACACTCAGCTGTGTTTGTCTTTCATTTTTTAGACTGGCACTTGCTTCATGCGAGAAATAAAACCCAAAAGGGTCCATACCAGGGTTTTAAAGTTTAATGCAGCCAGTAGGGGTGAATGTGTGGTGGCTTAATGAGGGGGATGGAACTTTGTTCTCAGCTCCAGCTCCAGTTGGAGCCTGATACTGATGAGGCTGCAGTATTTTCTTGTACAGGGTCTAAAGAGGACGAGGCCTTTAGGCACCGAAGGAGGTCCTCACTGCACTCAGTCTGACACAGTACTGTATACGGCATTTTAAGATACAGTATATATAACGTCTTCAAACAAAAATCCTTAATCTTTGCACTAATTCAATTTTCAGGCCCATATTTATTTTCCTAATCTTCTCTCAGCTGTTCCACAGTGAGTCATCCTCCTCCATCTCACTCTGTCCTCTGCATCCTCTGTCCTCACCCCAGCTACCGCCATGTCCTCTCTAACTGCACCCATACATCTCCTCTTTGTCTTTTTCCTGGCAGCTGCATTTCTAGCATCCTTCTACCAGTATACCCACTGTCTCTCCTCTGGACATGTCCAAACCATCTCAGTCTGGTCTCTCTAACTTTATCTCCCAGTTCATCTGTGCTGCACCTCTGATGATCTCATTCCTAATCATATCCATCCTTGGAGAACCTCAACATCTTCATTTCTGCCACTACCAGTTCTGTCTCCTGTCTTTTTGTCAATGCCACTGTCTCCAGACCATACAACATAGCTGGTCGCTGTCTTGTAAACCTTTCCTTTGATCTTTGCCGACACCCTTTTGTCACAAATGCCTCCTGAAACTTTTCTCCATCCACTCCATCCATGCATGGACACTCCTCTTTACCACACTTTTCCTGGACAGTGGACCCTAAGTACTTGAAGTCCTGCACCTTTGTGACCTCTGCACATTTTAGCCCCACTGTTCTAATTTTCTCCCAAACTTTTATTGCTTAAAAAGTGTAAACCAGTAGCTGAACTCATTTTTATGTTATTGAATAAACAGTTAACTTAAGCGAATAACATGATTAACTACTGGAATTAAACTGCTCTGCTGATGCCTTTGAAATCTAATTTATTTTGTTGGCCAATATTGATTAGTGTGGTGCTAAATGCACAATTTTAATTAAAAGCAACAACAAAGAAAAAAGACAAGGGCAGACATCTTCATGCCATCCTTCACTGCTGACACCATGCGACACTCCTCCTTGTTCAAATTACAGTGGAGTGTCAACATTCAGTGTTTACCTGTTGGGTATTCATTGACCTTAATGCATCAACGTGATGTGCGCTTTAATGCCGTGATGAGATACCACAGCATTGAGGTCCTCCTACACTTGTTATGAATCTTTTTTTGTTTTGTTTGTTTTCTAATTTGGACACTTGCAGAAAGTTTAAATAGACTTTTCTGTCCTTGAATCACCATCATGGACTGAACTGCTGCCATGAGTCACAGACTGACAGTTTTGACCTGTCAGCTTATATTTCTTCCTATTGTTTTTTAAAGACCAGTCAGAAAAGCACCAGACTTGTCATAAATTTTAGAAATGTGTAAATATAGCTCATCATATCAAGAGAAACTTTGTGTCAGTGGGACAGGAAGTAAACGAGATAAATTTATACTTCTGCTCACTTTTAACTAAAGCTTTTCACCCAGCATTTTTAAATGTGCTAAGCGGCTTATGTTATGCTTAAACTACTCATTTTGCTAGAAATTAACCATCGGACACTCCACTAGCCATTCTGCAAGATTTTTTTAAAAAGTTGTTTTCAGTCCAGTTATTCTGATAACAGTATCTGACCATTTTCAGAGAAATCCTATTTTGCGTTTGAAGTTGACTTTATGAAAAGTTGAGCTGTAAAATCAAAAACTACTGTTGTTTACAGATAAAATCACTTTTTAAACTGAATCTGTAGGCAACTTTTTCTAGCAGCTTGTTGCCAATGTACAATCTATTTATTTATTTAGATATTCATCTAAATAAATAATACATACAATACAAACATACAATAAATCAATTGAATCACATGATAAAATTATTGACCTCATTTTCATTTATCAGTTTTATCGTTTCTTTGTGTGTCTCTTTCTACTGAAGACACTGGATGACTGGTTTTTGTATTTTGCTTTGTGTGTTACCTCTTGTTCTGTCTGTACAGCACTTTGGTTGGCCTTGTCGCTGTTTTAAGTGCTCTATAAATAAAATGGTATGGTAAAAGGCTCAACTCCGGTGCTCTTCACTGATCCCTCCCTTTCTCCTTTCTCTTTAAAATCTGTTTTAACCATCTGAAATTGCATTTTTGGATCGTTAAAAGCAGCTAAGCTAAAAGGCCAACCTCAGGGAAAAACTTCCGTCTTGTCGAAACTGTTGAAAATTCATGGTTGAAACCCATCCCTTCATGTAAAAAGTTGTTTTTCTCTACAAAAAGAAGCTGAGAACTTGTTTACTGATTTTTTTTTATTAAAAGCTTTGTGTGACAAATGCTATGCTAAAGAGCTCAAATCACACCGAGCGTCCGCCATTATGAGAACTGGAATAAAGGAAAGAGAGACGACCCATGTCATGCCAAGAGGCCTCCCTCCCATTTTTCTTAGAGACACGCTGCTCGCTCCCTCACTATCCATCCTTCTGTTCAAACAGTCTTGTACTGCCATCCAGTGGTCAAAAAATATATTACACAAAAATTAACCAACATTTCTTCTTAAATTTGACAATTATTACTAATTATTGTCAAATTTCAAACAATATTATCGTTTATCGCAATAATTTCTGCGACAATTAATCGCCCAGCAAAATTTGTTATCGTGACAGGCCTAACTGTAATAATTGCAACTCAACAAATGATCAAATATTAATATTAAATGATTAATATTAAATGACTACATGAGCTGAAATCCTGTAAATATTGAAAAATTTAAAACAATTTTATAATTTTAATTTTAGGGAAGAAATCTGTCAGTCTGAGAATAAATAAAAATAAAATAAAATGTATGTTAATTTATTCTCTGCAAAGGACATCCTGAGCTTTTTTTAAATTTTAATATACCCGTCAGCCTCTCTACACTGAAATGACATGACTTCAGAATGCCACCGGGCTTGAGAATCTAGAGGGTGCAGGTTAAAGATAAATTTAAAGAAAATTTTACATGAAGTCATGTGTATAGGTCTTCCTTTCGTTTTGAACTTGCGTTTTTTTTTATACATTCAATGGTTCAAACCGACTAACTCGAGGCGGTCAAAGCTACTTTCTACTAGCTGCTGATATATACTGTATGCTTGCTAGCTAGCTATTCTGCGACTAAATCATGGACGACGCTTTGAGATTAAGACACCGTTACCATACCATACCACTTTATTTATAAAGCACTTAAAACAGCTACAAGGCCAACCAAAGTGTATTGAGCCTCATGCCATGAATGTATTCAGTAATATTTTGGGGGTGGGGGTGTTAATAAAATAACTGCGCTTGCACATACAGCTAATGAATCAGAGAGCACTGAATATCACTTTATGTTTAATAAACCAACAAAAACTAACCTTGAATGTGTCTCATTGAGTGACATATATGCTATGCTTGGTTGTAATACAGCAGGATCCCCCAACCATCTCCTATATTTATTGGCTTTTTGGTCGTAAATTTAATTCGAGGTGGCATTAAAAGGTCTTAAAAAGTCTTAAAATTGACTTGCTGACACCAGCTGATACCCCTTATGTATCTTATCAGGTCCGGATCCACTGGTTTGGTGCATTGTTTCCAGTTTTCTTAAGGCAAGACAGTTACTGATGATGTTCATCTGTTTTTAGGACGGGCACTTCTTTTGTTCACCTCTTGTTCAATTTCCTCACGTTCATACTGTCATGATCCAAGACTAAAAGCAAGTTAAAGAACAACCAAAGGCCAAAAGAAAAATTAAAGTTCAGAGAATAGTTGATCTAGACCACTTGATAGGAAAAGATCTGGCTCATTAGAAGCAAACTGTAAATAAATGAGAAGAAGTTTAACACTTAAGCTCAGTATTTAATGCGGCTTTTGACAGCAGAACAATACTTGGTTATACTTTGAGGGGGTTCACAAGTCACATGTCTGCAGCTTTTTAAAAACATCCTGCACACACTTCCAGTAAAGATGGAATCAGGTTTGTTTAACCTGAACAACCACTTTAAGAGTTTTTACTGATGATTAGACAACTAAGAAACACATATAGTGACACAGGGACATTTTTGAAGATGCTTTTCATACTTTGAAAACTGATTAAAAGCGGAGCATTTTAATTACTTTCTCAGTGCGAGCCAGTAAATTTTCAGAGAATGATTGATAACATTTTATAGACACTTCAGATTATTGTGTGAATACAGGTTGGAAGATGAATTATGCGCCTCTACATCTGTCCTCCGCTAACAGACTTGAGTATCTATGGATCATTGTCTTGCCCGAGGACATGTTTAGTTATTGCCGGGAGGAGGTGAAGAATGAACCATCCACCTGGCTGACACCCCCACCCCCCACCCGCTACTGTTACCTGTGAGCTCTACTCATAGCAGATAAAACAGCACGGGACATTTCTTAACTCTGAACTGCTGTGTCGTATTAGAGTAGTGCTCCTGGATATCTCACCGCTAAAGATTGACACAATTGTCCTTTAAAGCAGGGCGCTGGTTGAAACGGTGGTAAACGGTTTTGAACGAGGTATCCATTTTCATTTGATGCATCCTCGAAGTAAGCTGCATTCGAACTTGCACCACATTCAGGCAAAAGGGGATTTGCTGCAGACTCAAGTTTATGCGTGCCCTGTACTGATACTGCGAATCCCATTCTGGACCGCTATTTGTCACTGTCATTGTTGTGGTAACAGATAGAGGTGAGGGGAAGGTGGCGCTGGAAGAGGTGGAGGTGTGCACAGGAGGGGGATGAGGACATTCCTTTTGAAGGACACCTGAGGGAATAACTCCCTCCTTGCCTTTTTCCTCTAACAGGATCTGTTTGTGTATTAAACTGCAGGCCTTTGTTTGTGCTCAGGTTTTCCACAGCTGGAACCAGTCCGACTAGTTCGTGAGCTGCAAAAAAAATAAAAAAATCACTGAGGGAAGTGGAAAAGCAGACGCACGAGGAGGCATATTATGCACAAAAGAGTGCACAATAAAGAGCAAGGATACCGGTCAGGCTTTTTGCGTTGGTTCTGTTTGATTGTCAGTGATCATATCTGCAGAGGACGCCTCACGAAAGTGCCAAAACTTCCACAGAGCAGCTAAAGAAAGTGTGTGCGTGCGCCTTTGAAACTTTTTTTTTTTTAAATCAATGCATCAAGATTGCAAGTTATAAAAGACATGTCCAAGGGTGTGTTTGTGTGAGCGTGGGAAAGGCAAACACACTTACCTCTTCCACCGTCAGTGGCATACATATGCGATACTCTTTCATCAACATGGTGCTGCAACTTGGACGTGGAGAAACTTTGCTCGAGTTTGTTTACCTCAGCTGTCTCACTCGTATAGTAGACTTGCTCAGGCATGCAACCTCATGCAACCACTGTGACCTCTTTTCAGCCGCTCTCCTTTCCCCTTGTTGTGCTGATCTCAGTGGTCCGTGGAGTCAGGTCCCGTTCTCTCTGTCAATGAGTATCTGCTGTTTTCTTACTTCCCTCGCTCCTCAGAGGCTCGTCTCTGCTTTTTGTTTCTCTTCCTCAATTAATCTTTCAGACTCGACTCTTAACAGCCATCTCTCCCTTTCCCTTTCCTGCCTTTAGTTGCTCTCTGTGATAGTTCCCCCTCTACTTTCAGTTTGCTTTTTTTTGTTGTAGTGAAAAAAATAAAAGCAGTACAGCTGAAGTAAAAATGAAACCGTTTACTGTTCCTTCTGCCCCCTGTATGGGCTTTGTCTAATTCCTCCTCGTGAAACTATATAGTGCTCCTCCTCTCTTAACCCTCCACTGCTTTCAGTTCCTCACAAATTCTTTTCTGTTTCCCTCCTTATCTCTTTTTTTCCCTGCCATTTGTTGTATCCACTCCCCGCCCTCTGCACTTTAGTACCTCTTTACATGTGCCACCTCCCTTCCTTTTGTGTTTTTTTTTTCTTTTTTAAATGCAGTCAACAGTATTCTTACTGTAACTTGCAGCAGGAGTTTTGTTTCTTGAACAATCTCAGTTTGGCGAAACAGTTTAGTTTTTATGGGATTGACGAGTCCTGAACGGTGCCAAGATCACAGTGGATTTATGCTGTGTCAAAACACCTCTAGTCTTACAAATAAAGCTGCTCAAACACTAGTTTATAAACCATTTGCAGCATTTAGTTGTAGCACTTCTTGTGTAGCTTGGAGGGACTTCTGGCCAGACTGTCGTACAACCCAGATTCTGAAAAAGTTGAGATGTTGTACTATAAATAAAAACAAAACGCAATGATGTGCAGCTCTCATAACCCCGTAATCTGGACTGAGTTTAGTAAATTTATGAAATGTTTAAACCAGGGGTAATCCTAGAATCTGACTTCCAGGGGTGTTCAGCCCCCAGTGCTGACAAATGGCTCTTGGCTTGAACAACATGGTGGCCATTGGCATCAGAAGCATTAATGTGGGGGTGGGGGGCACACTGGCGGTAGGGGGGTCTGGGGGTCCTCCCCCATAAAATTTTGAATAAAGTAGATGCCATTTCTTGCATTCTGGTGTATTTTAACGGGTTGTTAAACATGTACGTTTACCTACATAAATAAACAATTGATTTAACCATTTTAGAGAGCATGACACAACAAGAAGTAGCGCTAAGCTAGCAGCATGCAGTATAGTTGCTCTAGCTAAGATGCTACAGATGTAGCACTCTGCTTTACATTACACTACCTAATAAATGCTTTGTATAAAATCAGTTTAGTGTTAACTGATCATAACAAATAAAGACTAAACTTATGTAACCAGAAGTTGCACCATATATCTACATACAAAACGCACAAAAGAAAGCACAAGTAGCTTTATGCATTAACCTTTAATTTAACCGTTAAGCATACAATGTACTTATGACAGAAAATGGATGATTTACTTGCAGTTACCTTTGTACACATGAACATGCAGTACTTCCTGTTTATTACTGTTGTATTCAGCAGCTCAGGGGCCGGACATCAGGAATTAAAGTCATTATGTTAAACCAAGTATTACAATGATCTGTTACCTTTTAAATTTGTTTATTTTGTTGCATTGAATCATAACTGCAATAAACAGAACCTAAAACCCTAACCCAGAACCACCTAAAAAATATAAAAAAATAAATCAACTTTATTTTTCAGTGGGGGCTGAGTTAAAATTTAAGGGTGCTTGAGCAACCCCAAAAAGAGGCTAAAATTGCCACTGGTGTAAACTAAGGAATGTTTAGGAAAAAAGGTAATATTGAATTTGTAGCAACACATCTCATAAAAGTGTGGACAACTTCTTTTTAAACTTCTGTTACGATTACTTTGTTCCATTGTAAATAAAATGTGGGTTTAAGAGATTTCCAAATCCTTGTACTGTTTTGGTTTACTTTTAACACAACATACCAACTTTTTCAGAGTTGGTAACATTCCCACTGGAATAACCAATTAATGCAGAACTGATGGCACTGTTAGTGTTTATACAACGGTTCACACGAATCGTCTTGAAATTTGTGTTTAAAGATGGCTGCAAACCACTTTGCGGTTGACTTTACTCAAACTTATGTCTGAGTCTCTATTTCTCCAGAGAGTGTTCACACAGCTACCTACAGCAGGTAAAGCAGTAATTATTTATAACCTAACACCACTTCAAAATGTCCAACTTATCACTTGAAGACTTTCTCAGCCAGGCGCCTTTCCTTCTCAGCTCACTGTCAGGTTACTCTCTGTGTGTATATGAATGTTCGGAGTGGGCTCTTGGATTAAGTATTATCCGAGCCAAATGAGCTTCAATGAAGCACAGCGCTGGACACGCTTACATTGTATTACCTCATGACCTTCAGCTGGATTTAATTGAATCCACTTTCAGTCAATGAGTGGAGGAATCGAAGCCGTCATATTATCTTTCTCATGTCCGTTCTCCAGTCGCTGGGCGCTTAGCCACTGCAGAGCATATATTGCTGCCTCCCTATCAAATAAGACAAGCAGATGCTTGGCTTCTCTGAGTCAGTCTGATGAGGCCCAAAACCAATAACCGTCCCTGGATTCCTCATCTCCACCAGAATCCACTTGGTTTTCTTGGTGCGCCTTGAGACAGGGCCAAAGTAGCTCTCTCTTCCACACGTCTTTGCTATCATCGGCTTCATACAGAAAGAGCGGTGAAAATAAATTCCTGGTGGGGTTTGCTGCTATCTTATCAGATCAGTGTTTGGAGAAGGGAAGCCACTTCAGAGGGTTGAGGTGTGTTTTGCTCGTCTCAGCCTCAATTTTCCCCAGATTCGCACCGCTCTGACAGCACACGCAGCGGCACGGTTTAGAAGATGATTGGTGGGGACTTGCATGTGCATTCTGAGTCACTGATGTCTTTAATTATTCAGCTGTGATTAAATGATGTTTGGGAAAAGTTGTGAGGCTCTTGGATGACTTGTGGAGCTGATCATATAAATAGTGTATTGATTGATTACTGTGAGAGTTGAGAAAAAGGTGTTTGTTGCAGTATCTTCTTTGAAAAATCCAAATCGGAGTTTGAAATAATGACGTAAAGGGAGAAATTACCAAATAGATTTGACTAAGAGTGTCAAAGTAATGCTACCAAGACCCCAGTGATGTCTGGTATTTACATGTAATCTTCATCAGATTGTTTTCCAGAAAATTAGCATTCTTACAGCTATTTAGAGATGTTCTCTTCGTTCTTGTCTCTATGCAAATATTTACACAAGGACTCACGATTCCAAAAAAAGGTAATGGCTGCTACGCTGCTTTGTGCTTGCACATTTCCTACCAAGTTAGAGATTACAGGAAATCAACCCGTATAGTGCTGGACAAAGCAGAACAACATTATAAACAACAGTAGGTTGCTTTTCAGGTTTTTCGACATAGCTCGTCCTGTTTCTTTAGTGGCGGCAAAAATGTAAAAGAAGCAGGTGATTGCACAAACACTGAGTGAATCGTGCCAAGATTGTAAATCTAAGGTCAGAGACTCATAAGCTTCATGAAGTGTTGGCAGTTATTTTATTAGTGCTTGGAGAATTTTCCAAGTAACTTGCATCTTGACAGAACAGGAAATGTGAAAGAAGCACCTGCTTTTTAACAGACTTTAACAGACAGAGACACCTAAATTGTTGAAACAACATGTCAGCATAACCGAAACAAAGGTGATGGGAACTTGGTCAGAATTTAAATAAATAAATTAAAAGAAAACTCGTTAAACTGAAGAAACATTAAAACTCACTGAAGTTCACTGTGGCGGCAGGACAAAAGTTGTCAGAGCAGCTTAAAAAAATTAACTTTTAATATTGAGGCACTTGTTTGATTCTTGTGTGAAATTGATAGTCTTTTGCCTTTAAATGTAAAGACTTGGCTGAGCTGCCAACTTTGAATTGTCAAAAATAATAGTTTCATCCAAACCATCAACATGTCTGCTAGTTCCCATCTCAACCAGACAGTTTAAAGAGGCATTTCCCCTAATTACCGGAATATCTCCATTTTGGATCTGCTTAATTTGTGTCTAATGAATGGTTACATACCACAGCACTTTACTGTAATTCTGGCCAATTATAGACCTATATCTAATCTAACATTCATATAAAAATTATTGAGGAAATAACTGCAACTCAATTATGTGAATATCTAGACAGAAATAATCTGTTTGAGGCGTTTCAGTCAGGATTTAGAGGTCATCACAGCACAGAAACAGCACTGGTGAAAGTTACTTTTGATATTCTAATTGCCTCAGACAATAGACTTGTGTCTATTGTATACTTGTCCTGTTAGACTTCAGTGGACTATTGCAATTGTTTATTATCTGGATGTCCAAAAAGTTATTTTAAAAAGTATTCAGTTGATCCTAAATGCTGCTGCCAGAGTATTAATGAGAGATGGTAAGACAATTGCCACCATATGATGGATGAGTTTGTGCACCTGACTGATCCTAGGAGCTATGCTGTCGGGGGCAGTTGTAATTGCCCCTGGTAGTGTCTCCCAAGACAGATTGGTCCCAGGTGACAGGCCAGACAAAGGGGGATTCCAAAGACTCCTATGGACAGAAATCAGCAAGGAGCTCAATGTCCCTTGCCTGGACATGGGTTACTGGGGCCCCACCCTGGAGTCAGACCTGGAGGAAGCGCATGCCGGCAAGTACCTGGTGACCAGGTCTCTGCCCATGGGGCCCAGTAGAGCTCAGCCTCAACAAGCAACATGGATTCGCCTTCCTGTGGGCCCACCACCTGCAGGAGGGGCCATTTGAGTCAGGTACATGACGCCATGGGTGGTAGCTGAAGGTGGAGAGCCTTGGTGCTCTGACCCTGGCTTACCAAAGCTGGCTCTTGGGACATGGCGCATAACCCCTATGGCAGGGCCCCCAATCTCATACTTGCAGAGCACCTCCCACAGTGTACCCTGAAGAACATGGTCAAATGCATTCTCCAAGTCAACAAAACACTTGTAGACTGGATGAGCAAACTCCCATGACCTCTGAAGGACCCTAGTGAGGGTAAAGAGCAGGTCCAGTGTTCTACAGCCCAGACGGAACCTGCATTGTTCCTCCTGCATATGATCAAGAGTCTCTATTCAAGGCCTCACCGAACTCCTCCCACATCCAAACTTGTGCCTCAGCAACAGCCAAGGCTTCAGCCTGCTTGGCCTTCAAGTACTCCTCAGCTGCCTCTGGAGTTGCACCAGCCAACAAGGCCCTTCTTGGAGCCAATGGACTCCTTCAGCTTGACAGCCTCCCTAACCATTGCTACGGGCCGTTCAGTCCCTATACAAACGATGCCGCAGTTTGGTTCGTATTGCTAACAGTGAGTCGGATCCCTTCTGGGTGGGAGTTATACTTCGCCTGTTGTCACCGATTTTGTTAATAATTTACATAGACAGCATTTGTCTGTGCAGCCAGGTGGTGGAGGGAATCTTGTTCGGTGGCCTCAGGATTCCATTTTTATTTACAGACGATGTGGTCCTGTTGGTGTTATTATGCCATGATCTTCAGTTCTCACTGGAGCAGTTTGCAGCCTAGTGTGAAGTGGCTGGGATGAGAATCAGCACCTCCAAATCTGAGATGATAGTCCTCAATGGGAAAACGATGGATTTCTCTAATGCCAACCCTTCCAACACTAGAGTTTTACCAGTTAGATTACATCACCTTCTGTGTATATTTTAATCTGCAAATTTGAGACATAATGAGGTACATTTGGAATAGATTAATATTTAAATGCTAAATATTTAACCGAAGAATACTGTTTTTTTTGTCAGCACTGCAGAAACTCAATACTTAAATCAAACATAAGACTCCTCCAGTGTGGGCCACATTCATCTCATAGCTGTGCTCATTTGGCCTGCGTGAGGTCAAAGGAAAATTAAAGAGCAAGTATTAAAAAAAATCAACATGCAACCAGCTTTTATTTGGAA